AGTACTATTTATTGTCACAAATTCCAATCCATCAGTCTATGTTTGCTTTTATATTTAATAAAAGATCTTTCTCATCTTTATTCTGTTTTCCCTCCAGCTCATATGGTTTAACTAATTAGAATTTATTTTTAAATTTATGGTGTGAGAAGAAATAACTTCATGTGTACTAACTTTCCCAATTCCTCAGCATGGTGTATTAAATAATCTGTTCTTGTTTAGAATATTACCCATAACACACTAAGTATATGTATATATAGACTATATCTCATAAATTTCTCATCTGGTTTTTACCTTAAATTTTAATAAGTTTTGATGTGAACATACTAGAGATATCTACAAAGCAGGATTTTTCTCTCACAAGGATACAACTTCATTATGCTGGCCATGGAGAAGCCATGATTTATTACAGGATCTAAAACTAAATTACACCAATGTGCTTGGTCATGTCATGTTACTGCCTCAAAAACTATGCTTTGGAATGCCATTTATAACTTGTTTCTATTATGTCTAAAACTCACAAGATAACCTGCATATTGTGAGGAAGGGAGAGAAAGGAATGCTGGCCCTTGACTTTTTCTAAGGTATTGTATAATATCCTAATAGGATATTTGAATTTACTTTCTCTCAGCCCTGGGATTGGCTAAAATTACAGAATTATGTCAGAGTTCTCACCTAATAGGTTTAAGGCCTGCATAGCTTAGCACCCTCCACGCCCATTCACACATGCACTCATTCATTATAAAAACCATCTGTACTTTATAATACAAGTGGAGACCAGGCCTTTGCCCTGAGGGTTGACTATCTAACAACGAAACCCATTTATTTAGTTTTCTAACCAAAATAATGCTTTCTCATTCAAGAGATGTACTTGTGCATCTGCTATTTATTTGGCATGCCTTCTCCCTCTCTATTACTCACTTCACAGTTTTGGTTTAGCAAATGCATTGGGTGAACTGAATAAAGTTATGTAGACTAAAACAGTAGGAAGTGCTAATTGTCATCAAATAGCCAAGTGTTGAGTTTATAAGAGAAAGGTATAGTTTGATACGCCAGTCACGTGGGGCTGAATCAATCTCAGACTGCCATAATTCTGTTTCTAATAGACACACTTCTTTCATCTAGATGGAATCAAACTAATAGATATCACACCAGAGTTCAAATAAAATGGACTATTTGAGAAAAACCTATGGATTATGCCTTGTGTATTGTACTGTGCTTTAAAAGTTGGGTAATATCTAATATTTGATAATAGAGTCACAACCATCAAGCAAGTACTCATTTTTTTAAAAGGACTAGCCACTAGGAAAGAATTTTATATTCTCTTCCAACTAACTGCTTCTGAACTTCCATTTATTTGGTTATATGTCCAGGGACAACTACCTAAAATGGTGACACTCTCAATGCCAAAGCTATGTAGAGTAGGGAATAAGGTATGATAATCGTTGCTACTTTTTCTTTCTGAAATTTACAATCGCCCCCACCCTCTGCGCCAAAAAGAAAATAAAAAAAGAAAACCCCAAAGACAAAATGAATGCAAGTTTATTCGTCATCAAACTATTTTAGGTCATTGTCATCTAGCTTTAGTTTCACAACTTGATAAATCTAAATTGTCAAGACAATGGAGTGAACCATATGGGACAACCAGAAAAGAAGAAAAGAGATTCCTTTAAGGAAATTTGTGATGGGTAAGTGACTTAGTAAAAGTCATTAAGTCGTACATTAAAATTATGTTTTCATAAATCGTTATGCTTCTGCCTTCTTACATTTCTCTGTGTCCCAAACTATTGCTTTCCAGATTTAATCCTCTATTTTTTTCTATCCCTCATTCTTTGTTTTCCTGCTTCTCTTCCTTGCCTCCCTCCATCTCTGTATCGGGCAGAAGCTCACACTGGGACACCTGATTTGGGTTCTAAGCAGAGCGTCTATAGCTCCACTTATCCTGAAATCCCTCTTGCACAGAATGATCTCCTATTCGAACTCTCTCAGCTATGACTGAACAGATGGCCCTGCACATTTCAGCTCACATAAAACATGCTAAAAAAAAAATCTCAACAAGCTTAACTATAAAATCATGTGAGAATCCACTGGCCATATTCATTCCATGTATTTCATTTGCTTTGAAGTGGATCATCATTATCTTAGATCCTGAGTTACATCTTACCTTTTTAAAGTTAAAGCATGTATAAGATGGCAAAAGAAAACAAAAACAACAAAAGTATTGTAGATTTGGATGAAAATAACTTTAAATAATAAATTTTCATCTCTCTCAATTCTAGAAAGGATAGCAAGCAGAGCTCTGATGATAAAGGTGCTACAAACAAATCCTGTCTCAACTGGACATTAATTATAGACTAAATGTATACATGTGGAAGCTGCCAGTAGTGTATAACACATTTCAATATTTTTAAAAACAGTGAAATGATCAAATCCCTAAAGATACTGCATTTTTCCCTTTATTTGCCCAGGAATCTGTTTTGGAAGCCAATTCAATGATTACTACTAGGACATGGAATTTTGATATCCATTTGGTACTGATTTACACCAGTATTTTTAAGGCTGCCAACAAGAAAGTCCAGAATTTCAGGCAGCCAAAATTCCACAAGAGACAACTGTCTTTTATTTTATAGCTTATGAATTTGGGGCTTAATATGATTTTCCACCAACAAGTTCTGTACCCCCTCCAGAGTGCTAAAGCTGGTGTAGAGATCAGCAAAGTAACACAGAACATATGAGGCAAGTTAATATTAAACTTGAAGGAAAACTGTACAAATTACATTGTTTACTTAGGAAAAAGCACTCTAGTTGAAAGGGCTGACATATGATTTATTACAAACACTTAGCCAGCATGTTCACATTTTACCCTCAACCCTACTTGTGGCAGTTTTTTTGGTGGTGGTGTGGTGCTGGATTACAGTATTAATAAAGCTGTCAATTAAAAATCCACTAACTATTGGGAAGGAGCTCTAAATACTTCATGTCTTCTGTTTTTATGAAATGGCTAGAAAAAATACAGAATCATATTCAGTAATAAATCACAGGCAAATAACTTAGGGAAAAGTTGGATGGGCAATTATCTTTAAACATAAGTAAATGGAGAACCTGTTTAATTAAAAACAACAAAACGTTCTTGGTTTCCAGAAATAATTCTCTTGCAAAATAAAACTTTCACACATAATTAGAAAAAAAATAGAATTATAGAATTTCTTGCTTTGCTCAAAGCAATCTTTTGAAGAGTCAAAGAGAGAATAGATATTGAAACACTAAAATAATTAGGATGTGGGTTTTTTTTTTTTTCCTTGCGAAAGTCATGAAATCTTTTTCCCCAGATTCCATGAAGAAAAGAAGAGACGTGGATTGGTCCTGTAATAGTTAAACCTTCCATACCTAAATGACTTTCTCCAGGCTTGTTAAAAACTTTCATGTTTCATACACTTTCTAATGTGATTTTTATACACTTGTTCTCGATTTGAGTCAACAAAGACATATAATAGTGTAAATATCAGCACAGGAAGACTTAGAATTATGTATTTACAAAACTAGATATCAAACACCATACCTGCAATGCTTTCTTAGTAAAGAAAAATTAATTATTTCACATAATTTCACAGATGAGGCACAAAGACTTAATGAACAGGTTCTGTAGCAGAAGCCCACCCTAACTACTAAGAAAACCACACCAGATAGCATTGAGATTTCACTAGAATTGCTAAGCTGCTATCCAAAAACCTGGCCATGGTGCCTACCAGGGGAGAATGACTTCTGGATCATCATTCTCAGGATGCACCCTGGATTCTCAGGTTCATCAGAGAGAAGCATGTGAGCATTGTACAACACTACTCTTATTTCTGAAACAAGGGCTGTATAAAACAGAATTACTTTCACCGCATTGCCACATTGCTACATCTAATGGCAGTTAAAGCTAAACATGAGTCTGAGTGAACAGAAGAGTCTTCTGACATCCATTCTTAACATGTAGAGTAGAAACATTTATATAAAAAAATTCATTTAAAAATATATTGCTAAATTACTCTATGAAATTTATAATTAGCTAATAACATAATTTTATCTACACAGACTTTAAAAACAGACATTGAATGGATAAATTATTTCATACCCAAAGTTACTGTATCTAGAAGAAAATAAAATTGAAATCATTATAAATTAATCTTCATGTCTGAACCCGTACCCTATTATAAGACAGAGTATTGAACAAAAACATCGTTCTATTTGGAGAGAAGGCCAAGATGATGTGTCAGGTGGCAGCTAACCACATAAGTATTGCTAAAATCCATCCTGACCCTCTATCCAGATCATATATTTCTGGTTCATTTAAACAGGAATAGTTATCTGTTTTTCCTATTGACACATAGTTATGAAAATTTCATTCTTAATTTCCCATTAGATTTCCAAAAACACCACTTTGAAATTCAAATTAGAGCTAAACTCCACAAGGCTGGTATATGGGCAAAGTGGAGAAATCCATGGATAACTGTATCAGATTCACAGACTGCCACTTTGCTTTAAAACTTAAGTTTATTCCTCTAGATTTCTCCTTTTTATTACTTTCTTTTCTAAACTCATTCCCCATTCAGACATTACTTGCTTTAGATTAGCAGTGTAATCAGCAGCAATCTGACCAGAGTGCCCTCTACTTTATTTCTGTTTATTTCCATAGAAACATTTTGGCAGGCAGCAAAGTTCACTATGTTCTTTGGAAATCTAATCACACAGAAAACCAGGTACGACAGAATACACACTATTTGATATATTCAAACGTGAGTCCTGAGAGCAAAATATAAAGTTTAAAAGAGGAAATAACTCCTCATTAAGGCTGGAAGAAATTTGAGAAACTTGAATGGGGGATATTTTTTAAAACCCTGGCTAAATTAGATCCCTCACTTTTAGATAAGAATGAACCCAATCTTGAGGAGTTTGCTTGGGAATGCTTTGCCCAGCCATTTGTAACCGGTGGTCAGTGGGTATTTGGCACAGCCATGGTTTTATATTTGAACTTCATCTTCAGCTTTCAGTTCAGGGGTTGCACCACGGAGGTGTGGTCCTAATAACTCCCCATCTGACAACAGGGGCGACCTGGCAGGAGTCTGCACGGCCAGTAGGGAGAGAGATGGAGAAAAGCTAGGAGCCATGGCTTCCGAGAGAGAACCGGGGTGGCAGAGAATTGGGGAGCGTGGGTATTTCTGAATGACCTGACCTGGGGCTATGGCTGGCATTCTTGGTGGAACTGCTTTAATCCCAGGCTGGGCTACCGCTGTTATCAAAGGCGGTGGGAAAACAAAAGACTTCTCTTTTGGGATGCCAGGCAGATGTAAATGCTCGTCCTTTAGTTTTGCAATATCATTAAACACTGAGGCAAGAGGTTGGAACTTGGGTTCCCAACTGAGCAGATAATCCCAGGTGGAGCTGCCTCTCAGATCATGATTGAAGGTTATCTGAGTTGGAAAAGCTGCGCATCTTGCTTCCTGATCACTTGACATAAAGATAGACTCTTTCCTGACGTCAGCCAGGACACCCTCTTTCACCTCTCTCTTCTGAAGTGGCTGGGGTGACCCCGTATTTTGAACATAGAGGGTGCTGCAGCTTTCCCCACCATCTCTGTCCTCAAACGTCTGGCTGGCTTCTGCAGCTTCGACCGTGGCCATCACATCTGTTTCCCCAGACAGGCAGGAGAGCTGGTCTGAGTCCCGGGGGATTCCCGAGTCAGGCACCCTGGACCCCCGATCACTCAACGCCGAGTCCGAGTCCTTTCTATAAGGATGCTCATTTATCCTCTGGATTTCTTTATCTTCTGCAGTTTCTCCTTCCACAGAACAGTGGCCGCTGGAGTTTGAGTGCCTGTACAGGTTGATCATGTCCTTCTCCATGATGCTTAGTAAGCTCAACCACTCAGGCACGGCTTGCACAGGTACCTCTTGATGGCACTTGCTGGTTTTCTGGAAGCCCCGGAGCATACCGGCCTCCCTGGTCAGACTCAAATTGCTTCCTAAGGACGACGATGCTTTCTTCTCCTCACAGTTGCGTCGTGTGTCTTTCTGTTTGTGTCTTAGTATCAGTACAAGGAGAATGCCGATGAGTGACAGAAACACTAAAAAGGAGACTGTGAGGCTGATCAAAAAGCTGTCAGCAGATATCGCTGCATGTTTTCCATCAGAGGACAAAGACACGTTTACAAACACGGTGCAAGACGCGAACTTGGAGTCGGGTTTGGGGCTATGGGCGATGACTTTCATTTCAAAGGTGTGTTCTCTGATGGCTTGACTTTGTATGAGGGGAGTGCCTCTAATCCAGTAAACATTTCCATTTGTTTCATTTATGGCAAAGAAAGGAGATGGAGTTCCAAGGGAGTAAAGAATGACTCCGTCGGTACCAGCGTCTGCATCTGAGGCTTCCACTCTTCCAATCAACTGCCTTCCTTGATTCTTTTCTAGGTGGTTGAAAAAATATTCATCTTGAGTGAAAATGGGTTCAAATTCATCTATCCCTTCAATGTCCACCCACAACATTAAGGAGGCTGTTGATCCACCTTTGTCTTTGGCCTGAACTGTGAGGCAGTACTTACTGACATTTTCATAGTCAAGGATTTGCTTAGCACGAATATCTCCTGTTAAAGGGTCAATGATGAAAAGGTCCTGATCAGGAGGAATTCCATGAGTGACAAAACAAGGTGATAAAATAGAGTAGGTCAATTCTCCATAAGGACCAGCATCAAAATCCAAAGCATTTATAGAACATATGGTGGAGAAAATAGGGAGATTCTCAGGAACAACACAATTCATGTTTGGGGACATAAACTGAGGCACATGATCGTTATCGTCTAAGACACTGATAGACACGACTGCAAAAGAAAAGTGCTTCTTTTCTTCATCTGAAGCTTGGACAGTTAAAGTGAATGTTACCGTTTCTTCATAATCCAGAGGCTTAATCAAATAAAGGACTCCTGATTTTTCTTCCAAGTGAAAATGCTCTTTCTCATTTCCCGAGATTATGTGGTAGACGATTTCTGCATGTGAACCCACATCACAGTCACTTGCTGAGACAACAGTGATGTGGCTCCCTAGCGGCGTGCTTTCCTTGACGTGGGCATGATATTTCAGACTGCTGAATTTGGGTGGGTTGTCGTCAACATCAAGCACTTGTATGTATACGACAGTTGTGGAACTCATAGGAGGGCAACCATGGTCAGAGGCTAGAATGACAAGCTCGTGGCTGGCACTTGCTTCTCTGTCTAGATTGCGAAGCAACACAAGATAACCAGCTTGCTTCGAAGGATATTCTGAATGAATGAAACTAGTTTCCACATGGAAGTTGTTCTGTGAATTACCGCTGATGATGGAATATTCAACTTGTGTGTTTTCATAGGTCCAATCAAGGTCAATGGTTGAAAGAGTCATGAGTGTGCTTCCGATCAGAGCATCTTCAGTCAAACTAAGGTTATGGTACTCGACTATAAACTCTGGGGCATGGTTATTCACATCTTGTATTTTTATCTCCACTAACGTAAGAGCCCTCAGGTCAGGAATTCCACCATCGCTGGCTTCCACAAGAAATCGAATTGTTGATATTTTATCCAGAGGTAATATAGGGCTGGTAGTAAATATTGTTCCTGAAAAACAAGGCAGAGCATATCAGTATTGTGAAGTAAATGTTCATGGCCAGTGTAGTCAGCAGATGCTTACTGAGTATCTAAATGTGTTTAGTTCTTTGTCAGATGTGTAAACAATAACAAAGTCCAGATAGAAATTAAAATTATTATATTTATATAATGTTATAAACTTTATAAAAGTACAGTTAAGATTCAGAAATAATTTTTATTTTATAAGATTCAGAAATAATTTTAATGACATAAAAATTCTATATGTGTGCTTCTTGAGATTGCCTTCACTACGATTCTTTTTTCTGAATCTTACTCTTCTGTAGTAAGTTGTTCTATAACTGCTTTTAAAAGACAAATATGGTTTTATGAGTGCATTATAGTCATACATAATAGTTGGGTTCATTTTGACATATCATATATGCACGAAATTTAATTTGATCCATATCAGTCCCCAGTGCCTCCTCCTTCCCTCCCCTTTTCCCCCCTTACTCTTGCCCCCTTCTCTACTGGTCTTCCTTCTATTTATTTTTAATTGATGCTTTATAGATTATACATAAAAGTAGAAGTCACTCTGATATATTTATACATGCACATAGCATGATTTTATCAAAATCATTCTGCATTTCCTCCCTTTTCTGTCCTGCCTCCTTCCCCCTCACTTTTCTTCTTTTCTACGGATCTTCCCTCTCTTCTTATGATATCCCACTGTCCTCTCTTTTCCCCCTTACTTTGATCTAGCTCCTGAATGTGAGAAAAAACATTTGATCCTCGGTTTTCTAGGTCTGGTTTATTTCATTTAGCATGATGCTCCTCATTTCCATCCATTATCAGCAAATGCCATAATTTCATTCTTCTTTATGGCAAGTGAAACTCCATTTGTATGTATACCATATTTCAAGAAAATATATTCTTGTTTGTAAAATTTATTCCCTATTCTATGAGCCATAAACAAATGTATAGAGATATTTTGGCATAAAGATACTTATTCTGGAAATACTGGTTGACACTCACCCTAGTCCAATGAAAGCAGTAAAAATGATAATTTTATGGAATTATAACTGTTCCTTAATATTATAATTATAGATATACATTTTTAGATATACTTTTCCTAAAGCTCATGGTTCATTCAGCAAGTGAATTTTTCCCTTACTGATAAAATATATATTTAAGACTTACTATATTAAATACAGACATAATTTTTATGAATATGGATGGAACAACATTTTTCTAAGATAAATGTGTTTTAAGTATGATCACTGAAGAAGAATACTGAATAATGACATTTTCCTAAAGGATTTTAAATCAGTTTACTACAGTGATGCAGCTACATCATTATAGCTGCTCAATTCACAATAGTTAAGCTATGGAACAAACCTAGGTGCCTTCAACAGATGAATGGATGAAGAAGATGTGGTATAGATACTCAATGGAATATTACTCAGCTACACAGAAGAATAAATTTATGGCATTTACAGGTAAATGGATGGAACTGGAGACTATCATGCTAATTGCAATGAGCCAATCCCCAAAGACCCAAAGCCAAATGTTCTCTGTGATATATAGATGCTAACAGCAACATGGGAGGGGAAGTATAGAAGTTCATTGGATTAGACAAAGGAGAATGAAGGGAAGGGAGGAGGGATGGGACAGTAGACTGAATTGGACAAAACTTTTCTGTGTTCATATATGAATAAATGACCACTGTAACTCTACATCATGCACAACCACAAGAATGAAAGTTATATTCCATGTATGTATGATATGTCAAAATTCACTCCACTGTCATATATATCTAAAAAAAACAAATTAAAAAAATATACTGGGGGGAAATGCTGGGGATTGATATTGGCCCAAGTATATTGTCATATTGTGTATATCTATTAATATGTATTCACAAATCCCATCAATATGTGTGATGTAACGTGCCAATAAAAATGTGGCCGGGGAAAGAAAAAAAAAAAAGCCACATTTCAATTAGAGTCACACCATGGACTGAATTGACTTGATTAGACTTAAAGTTTTAAAAACATTCTGATCAACAGGAAAGGTGAATTCAATTTGCCAGTGTCCAGGGCAGCAATTGCCAGGATCTGACATCATGGCAGGGGAGCAGGCACCAAATTCCAGACATGTTTATATGCATACATTACTCATTCATGAACAGACTATGTGGTAACATCACCTATTTTTCTTACAACACCCTGGGGACCTCATTCTGATATTTTGGGACCAAATTCTCCTTTCAGGCATCCTGAGGTTAATTTTTAAGTCAGCTCTCTCTTGCAGAAATAATGCAAAATGGTGGGTAGAGGTCGGAACGCACAGTGTGATGTGTCCTAATTTTTGTTCTTTTCTAAAGTGTTCTAGGACATTACTTTGCTGATAATATTCATTTTTATAAAATTTAGCTCTTAATGTCCACTCACTGTTAAACTTTCTCTGTACTCCACTTACTTGTTCAAATCTGGAATAACCTGCATGAATTCATTTTCAAACGCATTCACGAATGTCTAGTTCTTAGATAAAACTACAAAGAGACTTAAAAGACATCAAATAAAGTAGAACATCACATCACCATGGTTTCTGTTTAGTAGAAATGGATACTTAAATTATTTTCCTTTTTCACTCTTCTTGTAATTATTGAACAAATGAAGCTATTACTGAATATTTTTGTACTTGGTTTGAGTAAAAAACTTCAGACTCTAGTAACGTGAAGTCCTTAGCACTGACTTAATCCTTTCAACATCATTTTGATTATTGTTGAATCCCAGGATAAATGGCCTGAATTGTGCTTGGATAGATGCATGAAACTGGGGGTGTACTATCTTGGGGGTCTAAATTTCTGAGTATTTACCAACACTTAACCAATGCCTTCTGCTTCTCAGTCACTGAGATGTTTGAGAAGAGAAATAACACTGGTGTTTGCTATTGCAGTGTTTGACATTAAGATAAAGACGAAGGTGGTGCCTATAATTGCAGGGGGTAGAGATAGGGGGCTATTGAAGGAGCATCTGGAAAGTATTACTTCATGATTCCACCCTGTAACTCAAACCGTGAGCTCTAAAGTCACTAGAAACCACTCACCATTCATGGGATCAATGGCAAATTCCTTAGAAGAGGAAAGGATTCTATAAGAAATGGTCTCATTGCCTTCTAAGTCTGAGGCTGACACAGTCAACACTGAGTACCCCAGAGGAATCAATTCAGGAACTGTGACCTAAGCACAAGAGAGGAAAAAGGACATTGTGTTTAAAGGCTAAAGGCACATTAATGACCAGGGCCAGAACATAAGGTCATTTTGTCTATTTTGCTTATGGAAACCATACAATTCAACATGACTCTCTTAGATACATCGATTTATGAAGGTGACACATTAAAAATATTAGGCCAGGGAATAGCTCAGTGGTAGAGCACTGGCCTAGCATGTGTGAGACCCTGGGTGGAATTGTCAACACTGCAAAAAAGGTAAAAAAGAAAAGAAATATGTTTTCAGTTCCTGGAAAGAGAAAAGAAAAAGTTTAAAATTTTATTCAGTTTTGATTTTTCTTATGAATTTTTTTTCTAAATTATTTCTGTGTGTTGAATATTGTTAATACAGTCACTGTTATATTATTATATCATACACATTGTATAATTTAAATAAACCTCTATAGTTTAGTTTTCCTCCTGTGTTGACCTTTAAATCTTACATTTGCTATACTCAAAAGTCCTGGAGTTCATTTCCAAATGATTAGTTGAATACTATTGTTGCTCTAACTTCTCTAAATAGATACTATGCTCTAAATACTAAAATTTCCACCTTATAGATTTGTACCTAATTTGTTTTAAGATATTAATTAGTATATTCCAAAAATATGCCTAAGGAAGAAAAAAATTTTCCAAATTAAATGCAGATAATCCAAACTCCCTCGTTTTATCTGTGGCTTTGCAAATACGAAGCAAGTTCCAATTGTTCTGAACAACCGAACTCCAACTTCACAAAAAAACTTAAAAAAATGATGACCTACATAGTTTATGAATTGAAGTGAACGAGACATTCAATTCCATAATTACTTATAGTTTCCACAATATAAAACCTGTGGCATTAAATCAGGTACCCAAAACCAGAATAAATATTATCTCAGTGGGCCAGCAATGGAAAGCTTACGTTTCTTCAAGCTCTTTACCTGATAGAAATCTTGAGAAAACACTGGTGGGTTGTCGTTGACATCCAACACAGAGATGGTGAGGGATCCCTCTGTGTGGTACACTGAATCAGAAATTTGAACGAACAACTTGTATTCAGAAGCTTCTTCAAAATCCAATGTTTTTATCAATACCACTCTCCCAGTGTTCTGATCAATGGCAAATTTGGCTCCAGGGTTACTGTCTTTTGTGAAACTGAAGATGAAAGCTGGATTCAAATCCGCATCATGAACTGATACCCGAGACACAATTACACCAGGCAAAGAATCTGAAATAATCATGACCAGTGTCAACCTCCATTAACATTCATCCTTTGAAAACAATTTTTTCAAGAGTATAATCCAAGTGTCTCATTGTAAATCCAACATGATTTGCTCTTTTTTGGCATGTTTTCTCATACAAAGCTCCTTATGAACTAAACAAAAACTCGGTAGGATTTATGAGCCCAATAAAACTGAAAATTTACCACGGAGTAGGAAATTAAGAAAGTAGAGTATATTCAATTTTTCATATTACAGTTTTTTAAAATTATATACTTATAACATCACTCTGGGGTCAAGGAACATTCTAAGCATATATCTGTACTGTGTAGTTTCTGTATCAAAATCATATTCATGTGGATGTGAGTAGGAAAAACATTACTCAAAATATTAATGCCAAGCATAAAATTTTGAAAAGAAAAGCCAGGTTTTAATAAAAAAAATTGGGTACAGATATAAGAGTTAGCTACTCATTCCTTTGTATTTATTTGGCAAAATTATTTCTTTCAGAGTTGCACTGCTTCTTTCTCTTAAATCTGATTTTCAAAATTATCAAGATGATAGAAAGACAAAATTTATATAGTGCTAGTGATGAAAACAAATCTCTAATATTAGTCACTAAAAAAAATTACAAAATAGATGACATGCTCAATGTCTCACATACCACATGTGTTCTGCAGCCTAAATTGCCCATGAAAGGGACTTTGTTACTAGGCTGTAGGTATGGTGTGGGTGGAAAGAGTATGCCAAGATGCTCAGAATGGTTCCACTGTATATGAGGCTCATAATTTTCAGTTTGAAGCTTGAGCATTCTTGATGTGCACCAACCACACCTCACCCCATTCAGTACATTTTGATTTATGCAGTTTGTTCTTGTGATATATTTATTCTGGGCACATTTTAACACTAATGCAAGTGCTTACGAACACGAACATTTGATTTTCCATAAAATCAAATGAAAATAAATAGGTGAGAGGCAAAACTGGAAAATGTTCTTATTTATGGAATTTAACATTTGGGGGCATCCCTAGACATAGAGATTTCTGGAATATATCCCTCTGTGAGAGGTGGTGCTTATGATTTGTTTGTAAAGTGAGCATAATAAAATGGTAAGGACGTTTTAGAAATGAGTTTGGTATTAAGAGTGAAAACAAGCAGCTGCCTATGTAGCTCAAGGGTAGAGGTCTTGCTTAGAAGATGTGAGGCTCTGGGTTCAATCCCCAGGAGAGAGGGAGAGGGAGAAAGAAAGAGAGAGAGAGAGAGAGCAGAGAGGCAAGTGATAAGCCACCAGTATTTTCAACTTCAACTATAAAAAGTTGGGTTGGATTTCACCAGTGTAGTGAATGAGCATGTGTAATTTTGGGTTCATAAACTGTGCAATCATTGTATAACTCACATACCCAAACAATTAAGATTAATCCATCTATCACAAAAAAACTTTATATTTTCAACATCCACCATTAGTGTGATGCAACTATTGAAGTCTAGGGGACTTAGGGAGGAAAACGATGACTTTGTTCAACCAACATCCAACTTATTTCATTAATTGTCATTAGTATCTTGCAAAGATTGACGAAGCTAGGAGTCTAAGAACATTGCTTCTTCTCAGAGAAGATTCACTGTTTCCGCAGCCAAAAAAAACCCTGCTTCTTCAGAAAAGTTTAATTTTTAAGGCAAGTCTGCACATAAACAGATATTATATGGAATGGCAGTTGGCAGAGGGGGCTCAGCCTCTTGCTAATCTGAATACAAATCCCAGTTTTAACAGTTAACTCCTTTGACATTTGATATTTAACATTTGATATTTAACCATTCATTTTTAATGCTATAAAAGTAAGATAAAAATTTCCAAGCTTGCATGGCTGTGCAGGGCTAGCACTCATACTTAACATAGTGTCTGGCTGAAAGAAATGATAAATGATATAAGTAAATCAAAACCACCACAGCAAATTGTCACACTTACTTTCTGCAATTTCTACTGCTTCAGAGGGGACAAAAACTGGAGCATTGTCATTTATATCAATCACTCGAATCTCGATCATAGTTGTATCAGAAAGCCTGGGCAGCCCTTTATCCGTGGCTTGCACGATCAATCTGGTTTGGAAAAGAATCAAGGAATGTTACTCACCATCCAGGAATTAAAAAAACAACATAAATATCAAATATCTAGTTGAAAATCTTAAAATGAGTTGACTGGCTACTTTTATTTCTCCCCTGGCTTTCTCTAAATGGTATCATTTAAAATTTATTTCTCGTAAGAATGGTAGCCTGAAATTTTTTAAATTTTGACATGTTTGGAGAATCAAATCCAGCAAGCTTCCAGGGATCATGAAACATTAATGTCAAAATGAATGGACCACTTCTGGGAGATAAGAGTGTAAAATTTAATCCTATCCTACCAAGAACAACCTAAAAATTACAAACACTAATATCTATACTTTGGATAAGCAGATTTCTTCTACTCTGCCATGTACAACGTAAAATACTGCGACATTTCCATTTTACTGTACCAACAAAGACAGAACTACTAAAAGATTGCTTTGCACTGCTATTTTTTAAGATTGGGATTTCAAATCAATCAAAATTACAGAATAAAGGACAATGCCACAATCTCTCTCTCTCTCTCTCTCTCTCTCACACACACACACACACACATACTCCATATACATGGGGTGGTAGTGGCTGGGAATATAGCTCAGTGGTAGTGTGGTACAGTGTTTACCTAGCATATATGAGGCACTGGGTCTGACTGATTTACTTTTTGAATGTTACTTGGATTAGTGCTTTTATTCACTATACTCCTGTCTTCCTTCAAAGCCTAATCTTCATTCAAGTAGTATTATCAGCCATCAATCATACTTTGCCGAGAACTGAAAAGTTTTCTGGAACGTGGACTTGCAGTGTTTTCAAAACCAGTACAATCCAGGCAAAATAAGACATGAAATTTTCAGTGCTAAATCCAAGAATGTCCTGGGCACACCTAAGCAAGTCCGTCCCTGCAGACTCATCCCTTATCTTTACACCTGTGATGATGTTTAGATATTGTATCCTTTCTCACTTGGGGTGCTTCTTGTATGTACCAACCTCCCCTACAAAGGTCTCATCTGTTCCTATCCATCACCCACAGTGAAGCTCAATTTCTCTATCTAAAATCCTACTTGTGGGCTGGGGATGTAGTTCAGTGGTAGAACATTCACTTAGCATGCACAAGGTTCCATCAGAAACTAAATAAAATTTAAAAACTAAAATTCAATTTGTACAATCCCCTCCCCCATCCTTAAAACCTTTCCTGGTCCTTCTTGTCAAGGTTGTCCAACCCCAAGCATGTACACATGACCTTCTATGACCTGACTTCTGTCTAGAATCCCTGTCCCTATGCCTCATGGCCTGGCCTTCCAAATCTCAAATCTCTTTTAAGACTGCACTGACCTCTCAACTTCCCCTTTATCAATCCCCATGGCACCCTGTACATTTTTCTACCCTAGCAATCACTGCTTTTAGTTCTTAATGGTTCATTTGTCTACCTCTTCTATAAGTTCCTTGAGATCAGGTGGCTACTTTATTTTATTTTCAGAAAGGAAGGAAGGAGGGAAGGAGAAAGAAAGTAAAAAAAAAAAAGAAATGAAAAGAAAATAGATTGAGCATTGGATTCTCACAATCTGCCCAAGGTCACATATGTACTATATGACAGACATAGAATTCAACTTCCAGTCCTGGTCACATGGAAAGCTTTGCTCTACTATTTGATACTCCTTCAATGTGCCTCTCTTGCTATATATACACAGCACCCTAATAAAAAATCATCAGCTTGTTTTTAACTTCTTTCTATGAAGTCCGGGGGGAAGAAGCTGCATCAAAAAGTGAGATGTCAATTAGAAGATGGTCTTTCTTTCAGAGGTGGTATCCATCTTGCCCAGTTGTGGAAACTAACTTTTAAGAAACTGAGTTTTGGAAGTAGATACCTTTCTACTTTATTTCCCATTGTTAGACCCTTTTAAGTAACCTTTTTCAATCCTAAATTTGAAAATGAGGTGAAATAAGCATCAACTCATTCTTGACTTGGACTCCATTTAGTAGCAAATGACTACTGTCAATCTTAACATTCACAAAGCTAGTGCCTTCTACACTTTCAGAGTTGAGATTATCACCACAACCACTTGAATTTCATAGTCCTAGGAACAATTTCAAGTGGAAAGTTTGTTAGTATGACCACCAATCAGGTACATATGGAAATAATTTGCTAAAAGTAATCAACTCATAGTGTTGTCCTCCCTTTCTGCCTGCCCTTCTCCAGGGTCACCTAGTCTTAGCCAAGATCCCAAAGTTAAGGTTCCATCAACTCTTCTACTGTTGTCAAAACCATCCTTATTTTCAGAATATTATAACTTCAGGGCTTCTATGCAATTTCTATGGCAGGTTTCAAAAACAAAAAAAAGTAAGGAAAATGTGTAGTTCATTTTCAAAATAAAGGGGCAAAAAAAAGGTTTACTCAATGGCTTGAAGAACAAATAAAAAATTATGAAAGTAGATCTGCAGTGATTCTACATACAGTGTCTGTGAGACCTCAAGCCATCCATGATGGCTCCTTGGCAGTCATTGTGAAACTATTGGTTGTAGCCAGGCCAACTGGCTCCATGTTACAAAACTATTGCCCTGATTATTATGATCAGCAGAGACTATAAATGAAACTGACCAGATTTTGAACAGACCGTTCTAAGTTCAGAACATATTTTTCCTATTCTCTCAACCATGGGAAACTTCTTTCACCATGCTAAACATTAAATGAGGCCTTTGACCAGACAGGATCTTTTGTAATTGCCTTAAAACAGTAAATATGTTGGTAGGAAATTTTTCAAAAACTCTTTCTCATCTATATTTTAAATGTCTATGAAAAATTTTCCATTCCTTTTCAAATCCTAAGGAAACTAAAAGTGATCAGTCAGCATCAGAACCATCTAAAAAAGAAGTATGACTTCTGGTTAAATATGGTAATCTGACTTCTCAAGTTTATATCCTCTTCTTTCCAAGATTCTACAAAAGTGATAGCAAGGCAATCTAAAATAATGTGTAAATCCATAAGGCTAAAAAGAAATGGGAGAAAATATTAGTGGGTGGAGTAGGTGAGAAGCATCAACATTTCTAAAAGATATAAGAAGATTCAAGAGTGGTTATAGATGAGTGAGTTGGAGAAAATCAAAGATTAAAATGTGTTCAGGATATACAACACCCAAAGTGTCCCCTAATTTAAATTACAGATTCAGGTGGTAGTGATATGTCAGTGTAGCTTCATCGATCATAACAAATGTACTGCTTTAGTGGGTATTCTGCTGCATATGTGTGAGATAGGGATAATGAAATAGCTCTATATTTTCCTCTCAATTTTGCCATGGACGTGTAATTGCTCTAAGAATAAATTATATTTAGCAATACATCCAAATAGAAGGATGAATGAAGAGCAGGGTTTTTTTTCCCCCCAGGTAAACAAGGAGAGACCCAAGACATGAAAAAGGGTGTGTTGAGATATAACTAGGAAGACTCTGTTGAACCAAAATTCAGAAGAATCATGTCCCTCTGCCTGCTGCCTTTCACTTCCAGACAAAAGAATGCCTGATGACGTTCCTGCTGGTTAATTAATATTGAGGGACTTTTACAAAAGAAATGAAAGCCCCCACCTCAGATAAGTGGACTCTATCTATGGCCATTGGAATGTCATCTGGAAAACAGTCAATGTCCTCTCTGGTTCATCTGAAAGTGAATTGTGCTAGTCAGGCTCATTCAGCTCATTTCGAGATTCTAATAACTTTGCTGTTGCCTAAATCACACCCGGCAATCATCAGTAAGCCTCCAGGAAGAAAAGGAGAGCTCAAAAGAAAAAGAAAAAAGGAGCCAAGTGGGAACAGATATTGAAAAGAATAAAAGAAAATATAAAATCAATTCTAATGCATGCCCTTGGAGAGAGATCAGAAGACAACACATTAATAAAACAAGAACAGGATACTACAAAAAAAAATCAAGGATCATGGAAGAGCCTTTGGAAGTAAAAATGTATCTATTTATCTATATCTACATCTTTCTATATAGATAGATACAGATATACAGATAGATATAAATAAAAACTAGAACTAGAAAGCCATATATCCCATTTTAAACTAGAAAATAAATAAAAATTAAGAAGATTAAAATTAAGATAATATTCCAGAAAACTAAAATTACAAAAAACAACCAAGAAAGAAACAAAAAGTAGAAATAATATACAGCTAACAAAGTATACACTGACGTGATCTAACAACTGATTGAACAGGAAAATAGAACAACACAAACAAACAAAATACAAACCAAAAAATAAAAACAGAGGGTAGGAAGTTATCAATGAAAGAATACATGAAAATAGGAACAAAAGTCTCCTTATTTAAAGAAAACTGAACTAAAGAGGAGAAATACACCAAAGTACATAATCATAACATTTCTAGATGTCATGGATAAAATAAATAATCTAAAACCTTCCATAGAGAAGGAAAAAAATCATACAAAGTAAAAGAATTAGAAATACATAAGACTTCCCAACTGCAATGATGGGTTTTATAGGTAAAAGAACAATGCCTTCAAAATTCTAAAATATATTTGTCAACCTCTGTATTGTCTATTGCATAGATCACATGTGAGAGTACAATGAAGTCATTTTCAAACATGCAAAGACACAGATAATTTACATCTCTGGCAACTTTTCCTACAAAGCGACTGGAAGAGAAAAGAACTTAGAAGGGCGTGCATGGGATCTGGAAACTCTGGGTCCAAAATAGTGAGGGATAAACCTGTGCTCCCTGAATCAAACCCTCCAGGCTAGCGCCCAGGAGAGCATAAAGCAGCAGAAATGAGGCCTCAGGGGGAAAAAAAAGCAACTAGATAGATTATTTGATATGAGAGGCATTTGGAAGAGAAAAAGATGGGTGGAATAACAAAGCTGATGGACCATTTATAAGAAATTGATACATGGACATAGCAAATTGAGTAAGATGAGCAAAACCGATTGGTGGTAATTAACTCAAGGAAGCTTGGTTTTGGCAGGGGGAGTGTGTGAAAGGAAATAAAATCAC